AGCACGCAAGCCTCACCCGGCAGATTGCCTTCGACAAGGTGGTGATACGTTCTTGATTGAATACCTCATAAAAATATTGTTTTAATTATATAAGCATGTATATGATATGACGTCTTCAAACGAACATCAAAGCTAAAGTCTATCTCTGAATAGAATTGCATCATATAAATTCACACACATCTTTGTTACTGCGATAATTCCCGACGAACTCTGGTGTCGTCCAAGCGGATGTTCGTTGATACAGAAATGTGTACTATTCAAAGCTGAAAATGCGTGTTTTGACAACACAATAATTCTGCCTGTAACTTAAATAAAATTAATCAGTCAACAGTGATACTTTAAACCAATTAATATTTAAATCTAATTTACTTGTTTATAATAATTGGAAACATTTCCCTTGAACTTTATGAACCACCATTTCAGACAGTTTTTGTGCGTCCTGAAATGTATGGATGGACTAATGATTAGATTTTGGCGTTCTGAGCCGTGTGTAACTAAATTCTATTGGCATTTTAACGTTTGTAAGTAATTTTTTTAAGGATAACGATATTCGAGTTACATATTGCTTGAATACCTCAAGAGATGCCGATGTTCTTTGATACAGAATTGTGTGCTATTTAGAGTTGAGAACGCGTAAATATGATAACACAATTATGCCTGTAACTTATATAATATTAATCGGACAAAAGTGCTACTTTAAACCAATGAATATCTAACCATAATGTACATGTTTATAATAATTGGAAACATTTCTATTTAAGTTTATGAACCACCATTTCTTAAATTTTTTTCTACTGTCTGTACTTTACTTTTGGACTAATATTTTGCTTTTTACGTTGTGAGCCTTCTGGCACTAATACTGTTTGTATCGTATCGTTAATACGTAATTTGCAAAAGAATAAGATGTTCGAGTTACATCATACTTGATCACCTAAAAAGAATATTGTATTGGATATAAAACAATTATATGATAAAGCGTTTTCAAACAAACATCAGAACTCAAGTCTGTCAGAATAACATTGCATTGTATATATTCACACATCTTTGTCGCTGTGATAAATTCCAACGAACTCCGTGGTCGCTGCACGCCAATGTTCATTGAATTAGAATTGTGTGCTATTCAGAGCTGAAAACGCGTAATATGAAAACACATTAATTCTGCCTGTAACTTAAATAATATTGATCGGAATAAAGTGCTACTTTAAAGCCATGAATATCTAACCCTAATGTACGTGTTTCTAATATTTGGAAACATTTCCTTTGAACTTTATGAACCAACATTTCTGAAAGTTTTTGTCAACCTTTAATGAACGGGTGGACTAATTATCTGCTTTTTACGATTTGAGAGGTGTGCCATTAAATACTGTTTGTATTTTAACGTTTGAACGTAATGTTGAAAGGATAACGATGTTCGAGATACATAATGCTTGAATTCCTCAAAATAATAGTGGTTTTAATATGAAACATGTATACGATATGACATCTTCAAACGAACATCAAAATTCAAGTCTGTTGTTAATAACATTGCATCGTATATATTCACACACATCTTTGTTGCGGCTATTATTCCCGACGGCTGATACATAATTGTGTTCTATTCAGATCTGAAAACGCGTTTTAGGACAACACATTAATTCTGCTGTAACTTAAATAATATTAATCGCTCAAAAGTGCAACTTTAAACCAGTGAATAGCTAACCCTAATATACATGTTTATAATAATTGGAAACGTTTCCCTTGAACTTTATGAATCATTATTTCTGACATTTTTTGTACGATCTACAATGTACGGACTAATGATTTGATTTTTGTGTTCTGAGCCATGTGCCACTAAATACAATTTGTATTTTATAGTATTTACGTAATTTTCAAAGGATTATGATGTTCGAGTTACATCATGCTTGAATACCTCAAAAGAATAGTGTTCTTAATATAAATCTTATATATGATAAGACGTCTTCTAACAAACTTAGAAATTCAAGTCAATCTGTAAATAACATTGCATCGTAATAATTCACATTAATTTATAGCATAAACTAACTACGTAATATACATAACTCATAGTTCTGCAAGCAAATTTATCTATTATACTTACATAAGTTTTTCATTCTTTAACGTTCTTACAAAATTATGTATCTTCAAATTATGCTTTGCAAGGTTGTAAAACCTGTAATAAAGTTATATATTTTATATTCTTGTGTTTGAAGGAGGCAACGGAAGTCCACATACACGTCCGTCAGAAGGATCACGCTCTAACCTCTATATTTAAAAGATCGGTACTGCTGGTCTGTAGCAAGAGGTGTAACGTACAACCAACTTCTGCACAGAACATTGTCTTACTTCGAGTCTTATATATAAATGCTGTACAAAACGTACAGTAAGGAAATAGTGAGCTCTACTATGGAACATATGGGGCTTAAATTTGTATTATCAGGCCACAGCCCTTGTTGTTAATACCTTTCTTACATTCATACTTGATGATGATGTTAATGTAAGGTTATATAATGTAAAGTAAGGTAAGGAAATGTAAGGTAAGTTTACGTAAGGTAAGGTAATGGAAGATAAGGTAAGGTAAAGTGAGTTAAGGTAAGGTACGGAAATGTAGGCGACCCCATGTAATATAATGTAAAGTGAGGTAAAGTAACGTAAGATAATGGTAGGTATGTTAATATACTTTTCCTTAAGTTACCTTACATTACAATACAATACCTTACAATACCTTACCTTACATAACAATACTTTTCCGTACCTAACCTTACCTTACATTACATTGCCTTACATTATATTACCTTACATTACCTTATCTTATATTTCATTACATTACATTCATCTACCATATTAAGCGTAACTAATTCAGTTTAAATAAGTAAAGTCTTAATCAAACTTTACTCAAACGTAAAACATGTATAAAGTAAATATTTAGAATAAAGCCAATAAATACACTTCCTTTCCTTGTAGACGTTTTACGTCTAATTCTCCGGAACCGTGGTTCCACTATCACTTTTGTCATTTAAGGTCTTACCTTTGACAGACTGTTTCCTCCATCAACGGCTTACACATGGAGTCAGCAAGTATTTCTGAAACTTTTGTAAACTTTTACTACTGAGGTAATGTAAGGTAATTTTAGGTAAGGTAAGGTAAGGTAAGTTAAAGTAAGATAATATACCTTTCCTTACCTTACGTTACATTACATTACCTTACATTACATTACATTACCTTACCTTACATTATCTTACTTTACCTTACCTTACATTACCTTAGCTTACATTACATTACAATTCCTTACAATACCTTACCTTACCTTACTTTACAGTACCTTATTTTACTTTACATTCCTTACCTTACCTTACCTTGCGTTACCTTACCGTACCTTACCTTACCTTACGTTACCTTACATTACATTACCTTACATTATCCTACCTTACTTTACGTTACCTTATATTATATTCCATTACATTACATTCATCTACCATATTAAGTGTAACTAATTCAGTTTAAATAAGCAAAGTCTTAATCAAACTTTGCTCAAATGTTAAATATGTATAAAGTAAATAATTAGAATAAAACCAATATATATATATATATATATATATATATACATACATATATATATATATACACTTGCTTTTCTTGTAGACGTATTTACGTCTAATCCTCCGGAATTGTGGTTCCACTATCACTTTTGTCGTTTAAGGTCAGACTGTTTCCGCCATCTGAAACTTTTGTAAACTTTTACTACTGAGGTAATGTAAGGTAATTTTAGGTAAGGTAAGGTAAGGTAAGTTAAAGTAAGATAATATACCTTTCCTTACCTTACGTTACATTACATTACCTTACATTACATTACATTACCTTACCTTACATTATCTTACTTTACCTTACCTTACATTACCTTAGCTTACATTACATTACAATTCCTTACAATACCTTACCTTACCTTACTTTACAGTACCTTATTTTACTTTACATTCCTTACCTTACCTTACCTTGCGTTACCTTACCGTACCTTACCTTACCTTACGTTACCTTACATTACATTACCTTACATTATCCTACCTTACTTTACGTTACCTTATATTATATTCCATTACATTACATTCATCTACCATATTAAGTGTAACTAATTCAGTTTAAATAAGCAAAGTCTTAATCAAACTTTGCTCAAATGTTAAATATGTATAAAGTAAATAATTAGAATAAAACCAATATATATATATATATATATATATACACTTGCTTTTCTTGTAGACGTATTTACGTCTAATCCTCCGGAATTGTGGTTCCACTATCACTTTTGTCGTTTAAGGTCAGACTGTTTCCGCCATCTGAAACTTTTGTAAACTTTTACTAGACTACAAGCATCTAAAATCCAAAAGGCAGTCATCCTCGTATTCACCTCTATGAGGATACATATTATATCGTCTTGAGAATTTGCCACAACCGAGTAATCAGGTTTCATCGTCGACCTGTCACAAGATCACCTATATATTTTCTGCTAGTTCCGCACGACTTCAGCAGCGGCTATTAATTCTCACACTCTACATACAAATCCCCCGGCGTTGTCTAGACCCAGTCGGGTATTAACATTTTTTTACCGCTATCTTCTCGTTATTTAAAGGCGGGCCAATCGCGGACCTGAGAAGTCTGTCCTAATTCAAT